AGCTACTTACCCCCCAATCATCGGTGAACGAAACTGTGGCAGCTACAACCAGTGTACGACCAGTACGCGGTTATTACAGCTGATAATGATGATGATGATGCCAAGCCCATATAGAAGTCGAGATGCAGAGGTCGGGTTAAAACAACGGACCTTCCGGTCAGTAAATTCGCGCTCTAGAAAGAAGAAAGAAAGGAAGCGTTCAGCTGTAGCACCCTTCCGGTGCCTAGCTGCCATGCCACCCGAAGGAAGCACGAGGGCTGGGATACTGCCAGGTTGGCCAAGCCTAGACAGGGGAAGTCGAGTGGCGGAGGTCGGATTCGAACCACGGACCTTCCGGTCAGTAAATTCACGCTCTAACCACTTGGGCCGTCTCGCGCTCTAACCAATAAGCCATCTTGCCCCTCACTGACCGTTACTTTCCTATGACTAATCGATTGTATCAGTTGGTATAGGGCATGGTTGTTTCCGATATTCAAAGCATCTCTATGTCCACCAAAGCTCTCGGTCTTTCCTTAGCTCCTCAATAGTTGGTGTTTGAGGGATTTGCGCGCGTCGTTGTACTCCTTGCCTGTTGATATGGATTTCTTGAAAACAGTCAGCGCTAGCGATCTCGGCGTTATACAGTGGTCATTTGGTCATATTGGAGAAGTCGGACAGACGAGTCTGAACGCCACAACCATAGCTTTTAACATTTGGCTACGCTTCATCCACGTGCTCGCCACCACTACATTGTTGGCTTGCCGTAGAGAGTAGTTGAGATAGCTTAGCTCGATACTTATAAGCAGTCCCCGAAGATGGCGGATTGCCGTGTTTCTTGCTGGCTTGTGAGGGCCTGAATGGAAGCCGACTGTCAGGCCTGCTCACACCACGGCTTGGTCGAAATCAATTTGTGCATCAGAAGGAACGAGTCTTAAATTGTGGCTCTTTGCCAGTGCCTGATAGCCACGGGATCTAACTGAGTCCAAAGTTGATTTGCACTTCTCGGTCGCCAGGTCATGCACTGCTGAAAGATCGTGCTGGCGAGAAACAGTTCATTCCGATCACGGGACTGGAGTAGTCGCCCTCCGATGAACATTGGTTCCGAATCAACCGCCCAATTGTGATTTCGAAGTGTTCAGACGACCGACTTGGGTATTCGTATCTCCCGCAAGGATGTCAGTGTTTCCTGCTTGAGCGCGGATAACTCCCGATAGAAGATACCCCTCTCAGCGTCAGAAGTGCATTCCTTTGGGATATGCATCCACAAGAATGTCAAGAAATATTGAGCTTGATTGATCTGGATAAGCGAAATTCGCAAAGACGATTTAGGGCTGCCTGAAAATTCACGAATCATCGCTTTTGGATCATCAGACACCAGATACGCGGAGAGGGAAATCTAAAAAATCTGAGTTTGTCCTTGGTGTTCTGAGGCACGTGGCGACGACGGTTTCAGAGACACAAAACACATCAATTTTAATGGAGTGTAAGACCTTGGCGAGCATCGCCTGTTTTGTAATTCGACATAGGGTACAAAAACTGGGAGCTCCTATGTAAAAAAATTTCGTGGACTAGCAGGGTGTTATTTTATTTGTTCTTAATGAGCACATTGACCAGATGGCTGACAAGCAAACGACCCACCAACGTTTGCTTGTATAGTGGGAAGTGGTTCGGGGGGACATCGGTGGACAAGGAACTGTGCGGGTAATGATACTTATTGGTTGCCCAGGCCGAAACAGGGCAGTTGGTTGGTTCTCCACCTTGAACCTCTGACTCAGGTCAGGTAAATTTGTCCTGGAATTGAGTCCTCGGAGCCGGGTCCAAGGTACGTGCGTGGACACCAAGGGGGAAATAGTGGTCGCATGGGGTGATAGTCTATCAGCATTGATGGCTGTGGTTTACCAGAGTTCGTCGCCTAGTCTATGGCTTATGACTCCATAGGACGATATCTTCTACTCCGTACTCTTTCACTAAACCTGAACTAATCGCTATTCAGGAGCGCCAAACGATTATAGACGTAAGCGCCGTCGCAGGTGGGTACGGAAAGTTTATGTAGATGGCGGGAGAAGCAATAATATGGAAGAGTACGCCCTCGCTATCACCTCAGATCTCCGCACAGCTGATTGTTGATTTTTTGGTTCACGAACGGGCGACCATTTTATATCTGGATATCTACTTTCATCAATCTCCCAGGAATGTTAGACCGGAAGTTTCCAAGGTCAGAGTCGCAAGCTTGCGTTCGCCCACTAGTTTGGGCTCTACGCATTTACGATATTTACGCGCGATACACGATGTTGAGATTTTTGTCAAGGACCTTCTCATCTGACCCTGTATGACGAACACCTTTTCCCTGACTAGGCTGGCGTTCACTATGCCTTGAAGAGCATTCATCCTTGGCTCACTCGTTGAACTGTACATTTGTATCTCAATGACAAACATTCCTATTCTCATTAGATGTTGTTCCACCTGACCGAAAAGTCACTGACGGCACGCAGTGGATGGAGCATTTCGCCTATTATCCAGTACCCTTATTCTCAAGTACACTCTTCCAAAACTGTCGCTCGCACATTATCAGTACCATTATTACCACAGCGCTATTATAAACATTACAGCAACGGATCTACGCGGCGTTCTTTGCTGTGCCAATAAAGACCGGTGAACAGGGTGGAACGAACTCTGGAAAACCAGAAACACCAAAACTGTGGGTTGTCCATGTTTGGCGTTTTTGCGTTACTGAAGTTACGTATCCACTTGATGGTCTTGAAAAGGTGCTAAACAAAAATAGGGAAATGATAGTGAAATTGGATTCAAGCTGACTCTCTTGTGACTGCCGGATTCATTAATGGCCTATTTTGGAAAACGAGCACTGAGGTTGATTCTCCCCAGTTGTCTGGGACAGTCTCCTTCCCATCAATGGAGTTGCACATACCAAACAGCAACAGGAGACTTCACGCCAAACTCAAAAAATAAGGATGGGCAGTGATGCCGACCAGGAGCATGGGGTCGTTTGAAAGAAGATCCGCAATCATGAGCCTCCAAGGCTGTGAGGGGTTCCGGTTTCACTGTCCGGAGTTCTAGCGTTTTCAGGATACCTTTGAGCGAGTGGAATGCGGGATTCTTCGGACGCCCCCATGGCACATGACAACGCTTGGAAAAGAATTGTCCGAGGAGCCAACGACTACGTAGTGTAGCATAAGGTGTCTGTCATTTTGATTGATTTTTAGGTAGGTATTGGCGGTGTACAACCTTGCTTACTGGGCTTTGGCTCATGAGCTTTGTTTCTGTGTTCCATTCACAGAAATTTTCGCGAACACCTGCCTTCGGAGAATCACTGTCCCCTGGTGCTTCCATAGCGTGCATATTACATAATTGACGACCACGCCAGGATGGTTGCCACACACTGGTAGACCTACCACAGAGATCCTGGCTCTACATATGTGCAAACAGGCCTCAGAGCTAGCACGTTGCTCACTCACACACGGTAGACGCAGCCCCAGATACAGCAACCTCAGCACACGCTCATCAACCTCACGCACCACACCACTAGCAGCGGCCGGTTCACGTAGGCCATGGTACACCGGAGGCGGTGTTCTTCAAAAAGGAGGCCAGTGTAGTGGTGCTTCCAGTGGTGTTTCCAAAGCGTGCATATTACAGTAGGCTGGGCGAATGTGTTGCGAACCGGCTACGAACCAAACGAATCAATGCCCTCATTGGTCTTATATGGACCAATCAGAATGGAGACATTTTAGCCCACGTCAGGATTATTCTTGCTCGACCACGCGGAAAAATCCCTACTTCCCCAGTGAACACAGATGTGGCAATTTTTCTCCAACGAAGGCAGTGTCAAGCTACCGTACACTTTGCTTTTCCATAGAGAGCAGCACGGTCGGTCATATTCGCGGTTTCACGGATTGATACACAGGATCGAGGCTTTGCCCAAGTATCCCGGATCGGTTTTGTCCTTGTCGGTCAGTGGCTGTCGTTCACCTGATAGGCACAAGTGAAAAACGGTGTAGCACTGCTCTTTATGTTCTCAGCGCGAGGATTCGCATAAATAAATGACTAACAGTGCTTTAAACTGGGTTCCAGAAGGAGCGTGGACAACCGTCGGAGGAAGGTCATTCCACGCAGCTACTACCCGAAATGAGAAAAATTTTGTCTAATGAATGTGTGTGCTCTGAGCTTGAAAATTTTCTTACCATGTCCCAGCCGTGTGTTTGCTGGGTCAACTGTGAAAAACCTGTTTGCCAAGCTTTGTTCAAACAGGGCATAAGTAAGAATTAGGTCCCCTCGGAGGCGACGGTGCTCCAGGGGAAAGAGATCAAGCATCGCGAGACGCGTTTCGTAGTCCACGGA